CCGATGCGCTCGAAGTCGTGGTCCAGCAGCGGCTCGGCCACCAGCGGCAGGAAGGACTGGAGGAGGCGGCGGGGGGAGAAGAGAGGTGGTCGGACCCCATGCAGCCATGCAACCCGCCCCTGCCACGCACTGCCAGCACCGGGGGAGGCTCCAAGGTGGAGGAGCAATGCACCCCCCATTTACACCCTGAAGCTGCAATCCCGGGGTCAGTGGGGGACAAAAACAGAGCAAAGCACAGGCCAAGGAGCCAGCAGAGAGGAGAGACACCTGCTTACTTCTCCCATGTGCGGCTCCACACACCCCGAGGGGTCCCATGCCTGGTTCCCCCCTACCCGCCCCAGCTCCAGAGGCTCCTGACCTTGGCAATGGACTTCACCCAGTCCCGCGCGGCCTCGGCGCTCTCCAGCCCAAACAGGTAGAGCCTCTCTGACTCGATGAAGACCTCAAACGTGCTCTCAAACCTGCCCGGGGCGGAGAATGGGGGCAGGGGTTTGCAGCTGATGCCCCACCAGCTCAGGCTCCCAACCCAGGAGGTAGCATTGCCCTCCCCCAGCTCCCCCCATGACCGCTGAAATGCGCCCCCGGAGAGCCAAGCAGTGATGGAGTTCATGCTGCATGGGGGGCTTCAACAGGGCAGGACAGCATCCGCATCGTGCCCAGGGGGAGAAGCAAGACTTGCTGCCCAGCGCCTTACCCGTGGGTGTCGGGCGGGTGGGTGGCCAGGCACACAATCTCACTCATCCGGATCTCGCCGTTGGGCACGGCGTTGCGGTCGTTCTCGTAGTAGCTGAGGACGCTGTCGTTGAGGGCGCACCACCGGCGGCTGAACTCTGCGTGGAGCGGGAAGACACACAGCGGGGCTCAGAAAAGGCAGGGCTCGCAGCCACGTCCACCGCCTCCCCATCATCGTGGCTGGGGTGGCAGCCGTGCTGCAGACGCGGAGAAGGGCTGGGCCCTCTCCACCCTGCGCAGCACCAAGGACCGCGGCAGCACCCACCTTCCCGGGCCTTGCGCTCGTGCACGGGCTTGGCCATGGAGGGCGTCTTGTAGAGGAAGCCGTTGTGGGTGACGGTCGGCAGGACCACCGAGTAGTGCTTGTCCTCGCTGTTCAGCATCTCCAGCCGGGGGATCTCTGCAGGGAAGGAGAAGCCGGTTGAGGCTGGGCCATGCCAGGGGCCAGGGTGAGGCTCCAGTCTGAGCTGCCCCGGGGCCAGGAGAAAGCCCTGGGACAAAGCCCCTGGCTCCGAGCACGGCACGGCTGTCACAGCCCCTTCTCTCGCTCGGCTAAGCCGGCCCACGGCTCTATTGTGCTGCCTCCACGGCGGGGCGGGGCGGTCTGCGCCCGGCTGATCCGGCGCCAGCCGACCCCGCCCCACGGCTCTATGGGGCTGCCTCCGCGGCGGGGCGGGGAGCTCTGCGCCTGGCTGATCCGGCGCCAGCCGCCCCCGGGGCTGGTGCGGAGCCAGGATCCGCTTCCTCAACCCCTGGAGCCCAGCCCAGGGCCCGAGCGCAACCACCCTCGCTACTAAATTCCCTGCTCGTGGGTCAGGTGGTTGGAGGTGGGGAGGACAGCTCCTAAACAGCTCGGGGGCTCTGCCCTGCACAGCCTGAGGCAGGTCTCTTTGGGCCTCGGTTTGCCCATCTGCATAATGGAGCTAAGGGACTTCCGTTTCCACCCAGAGCTTTGATAACAGGCTGATCTCATCGGTGACTGTAGGACACGCCGATGGTAGCGAGGTGAGGGGCCCTGCCTGCGAACGGCGTCCTGCACTCGGCACTGCACAGCTTTCACCCGTCCCCCCAGGGTCTCCTGACAACTAGCACCACGGCAGGCTGTGTGGCTCCCAGGTCTGGAGGCCACGCCATGGGGGTGAGCACATGGCTCTGTGCCTCAGTTTCCCCAGTGCAAAGCAGATGGGAACAGGGAGGGAGCGGGATGCAGTATGCAGCGGAGTGGGGCAGGGGTCTCTGACTCTATGGGCCTGGCACGGTCTGTTGGCCTTGCCCTTGATGGCCAAGCTGCCACGAGACCTGCCATGGCACCTCTGCACATGGCATCAGACCAGGCTGGAGCCCCCCTGGGCCGGGCCTGTCCACCCTGCCCCTGTGCAGGCTCCCCCCTGCTCCGCTCAGATCTCGCCGGACGCTCGCTGCAGACAGCGCAGCTGGGAGCCAAGCCGCGCTGGCCGGGATGACCCCTGATTCACGGGCCGAGGCTGCAGCTGGAGCTGCTCTTAACCGCTTGTGCTGATGCTTCCAAAAACACCCGGCCCTGATCCCCCTCCCCGGTGCAAACACAGCCGCAGCAACAGGCAACGAGCCAGGCAGAGGCAGCAGCTGGGGGCAGGCTGACCGGCCCGTTGTCCTGGCCACGAGACCCCAATACCTGGAGGAAGAGCAATGGAGAGGGGTGGCCACGACTCGGAGTGCAACCGGGCTTGGGAAGACCATCCCAATGGCCAGAGCAGCAGGGCATGGGGATGAGCTGCCCGGAGACAGGGGAATCTCTTCCCCTTGGGCTCCAGGCAGGGGCTGAGCTGGGGCACGAGCTGTCTGGGTGAAGGATGCAGATGGCAGGGTCCTGGGAGCAGAGCCCTGGGCGTCCAGCTTGGGCTTCCCAGCCCAGCTCCAAGCATGCAGCACTCACTGGTGCCAGCCTGCTGTGCTCTCAGGATGCCCTCACGATGCCTGGGGAGAGGCGGGGGACTCAATTCCAGGAGGCTCGGCATTGGGGCCGAGGAGCAGGCAGCCCCCAGGGCTGGCAGCTGGAGGGGTCAGTTATGGGTAAGCCCCAGCAGTGGAGGGGAGAGGGTTTTGCACAGCATAGGGCTGTGGGGGGAGTGGGATTAGGAGCTGCCCAGACAGGAGAAACCGAGGCGCGGTGATTTACCCAAGGTCTCGCGGCACATTGGTAGCAGAGCCAGGAAGAGCCCCAGGTCTCCTGCCCCAGGCTTGGCTCAGCTCGTCCACCCCCAACAGCTAAGGCACTGCCCCCCACCAAGCTCCTCTTACCTGAAGTTTTGTTATGGAGCAGAAACTCCACCTGCAGCCTCTGCCCGGCCTGTTCAGCCAAGGCGATGGGGGTCGGGAAGTCGGGGTCCCCGGTGGAGCAGGTCACCTCGGCCCCGCAGAACACCAGGGACTGGGTCTCCGCCAGGTCGCTGGTCGTCACCGTTGCGCACAGGGCCTGCGGCGAGGGGGCGAGGGCAAGGGGTGAGCCCGAGCCTGGACGGACTCTGCAAGCAGCCTCCTCCGAGGAGCTAGCCCCCTCGCCCTTCACCAGGGAGCCAGCACAGCCAAGAGCAAGGGGCGGGGGGGGACCCCGGTGAGCAGCAGGGCTCGCCGCCTTCCCGGGCAAGCACAAGAAGAGGCTGGGACTTGCGGGGCGGAAGACGGCTTGGAGCAGCCGCGGCGTGCAGCTTTCCCCGAAGGAGCCCGGGATGAAGTCATGCAGCCGCAGGGTGGGACGGTGCGGCTTTGCAGCCAGAAAGCAAACAAGCCCACATGTGCCATTCCTGCGCTCCTCTCCCTCCGGCGGCCCCAGCCGGGGCGGGGGCTGGACTCCCGTACCTGCTGCAGTCTGATCCGGCCGGCTGGGCTGGTGCCAGGCCTCGGTCCAGCCCCTGCCCTGGCTAATGCCCGGCTCCATGGATAATCCCCGATGCAAAAGGCAAGGGGGCGCAATAAAAGCCCTCCAGGGAGAGTGATGTTTCCCACTCCCCTGGGTGCAGGGAGACGAGCCCATTTCTTGCAGCGCTGAAGCAGGCCCGGCTATGGGGCCCGGGGTGGAAGTGACTCATTCGGAGCCCCCCCTTTGCACCGTGATCTCAATGGTGCAGGGGCTGCATGCACCCTGCTGAGGCTTGGGCAGCTCATGTCGGTGGGAAACACTTGTGCATGGCACTGGCAAAGCACGCGTGATGCCCCCAGCTGCAGGCTGCTTCTTTGGGGAGGATAACAGCCTAACTACTGCAACAGGTTCGAACGGGGCGAAGGGCAGCCCGTGGCATGCGTGCCACAAGTGGAACGCGAAGCTGGTGCACGTGGCACCTGGCAGATCAGAGAGGGGGCCAGGCAGCACCGTGGCAGGGAGTGGAGAGCAGAGCAGGCAGGGAGCACGGGGCAGGGAGCAGGCGGCAGAGCAGCAGATCACCCAGGGGACACCGAGCAGGGAGCAGAAAGCAGAGCAGGCGGTTGGACAGGGGGACAGGGATTGGCGCGGCGCACAGGGAGAGCGCTGGGATAACCCGGCAGCTCCCTGCTGGCTCAGAAGACATCCCTTCCTCAAAACGCAGCCAAACTCGTGCTCCAGGAGCAGGGACTTAAATTGCAGGCAGCTGCAATCCCGGGGCACCGGGAGTCCCAGCATCATCCACAGCTGGCTCACTGGCAATAACCAGCCGACTACTGCTGCCTCCTCCGGGCTTGAGCGCCCTGCCCCCATTAGCCTGGCAGGGCCCTCCGGCACTCCCATCCACTCCAGCCCCCTGCTCGAGGCAGGGTCGGCCCTGTCTGGACCGGCCTGGACAAGTGTGCATCTTGCCTGCACCTGAAGGAGAGAGGCTCCACCGCCTCCCTGTGCAGACCCATCTGCAGCACCAGGACATCCTTCCTATTGCCCCTGCTGCAGCTTGAGTCTATGGCTCCTCGTCCTGCCCCCTGCGGCCACAGAAGAGCCGATCTCCATCCTTCGGGCAACCACCCATCGGGGACTTGACAGCTGTTATCCATTCCCCCACAGTTCTTCCAGTCTTTGCTGGACTGCCCCATTTCCCAAGCCCCAAATTATTTCTGTCTCCCCTGGATTTTTACCAATGCGTCCACATCTTTCTTGACATGCCATCCAGTCCAGGCCCCGCAACACGAGGCCATAAACACTCCTGTACCCCAGCACGTTGGGCTCCTGTACCCCAGCACGTTGGGCTCAAGAGCTGAGTGCACACTGCAAGGGACTGGCTACGCAGACCCCCGCTGCCTCCTAGATGTTTGCAGACGGGGTATGAGGCCAAGGCAATGCAGCCACCTCTGGGGTGAAACGCAGCAGCTACCAACGTGACGCTGGTGCATGGGACAGCCCCTGACACTGGGGATTGCAGGGGGCAGGAAGGCCATTTTGCAGCCAGAGTTTAGCCAGAAAAGTGCTGTGAGCTCGTTAATCCTAAGAGCAGCCCAGGCTGAGCTCAGCTCCTGCTTCTTAACCACGCACAGAGACCAGCTCACCCAGTGAATGAGGGGACAGCTGCTCTGCAGACGGCAGCCGGGGGGCAGAGGACAGGACTAGCTTGCAGAGCTCCAGGGCAGGGACATTTTCCCGGTTCCTCCATTGGGCTCTGCAGCTCTGGGCTGCAGGTTCAAAGCCAACACGGGGATCCTAGGCTGCTGCCTGGAGCCCCGCACGTGGAGGAGCCCATGGCTGCAAGCCAGCAAGCCTACCCCAAGCACCCAGCCTGGGCTGCGATCACGTGGCGGCGAACCCGTGGCATCGCCAAGCTCAGGCAAGGGTGGGGGAGTCTCCAGGGGCCACCCACCTTGTTGAGCTCCTCCTGGTTCCCAAAGAGCGGGTGGTAGCGCCGGTACTTGCCCTCCCGGTACTTGGCGATAAGGAAGTGCCGCCTCTCGTGGGTCCCGCTGGTGGCATTGATGGCCTCGCTGGGGGGCACATTGGCTGCCCAGAACTGGTTGGACACGGCATTGCTGATCTGCTGGAAGAGCTGCAGAGACACAAGGGCAGGGGCGCTGAGCAGGGTGCGGTGTGGCCTCCCCACACCCTGCTGTGGCCCTTCCTGCCACCCCGTGCTCCCCCTTTCCAGGCCTCTGGATTCATTACAGCTGCCCCCAAGGGCTGAGCTGAGCAGGGCAAGCAGGGCTGAGCAGAGACAGGAGTGTGTGCATGGAGATCAGATGCTACGGGGATGGGCTCCCCAGGGCAAGGGGAGAGAGATCGGGTCTCTGGGTGCTCTGGCAGTGACCAGGGTGGCACCGTCCAGGATGCAGGCAAAGGGGCACATGGGCATCACACAGATAACAACTGCCATGGGCTGGATCAGACCCTAGGTCCATCTTGCGTGTGGCATGGAGGCAGGGCACGGGGTGTCAACCCTTTTCTAGGCTGCCCAGGCTTGGCCTCTTCAGTCTCTCCTCTAGGCCACGGATCATCCTTGCTGCCCTTCTCTGGACTGATAGCCTTTTGAGGTGTGCAGCCTTCCCCACCCCACACCCAGGGCAGCACGGCGCTCCTTGCACCACTCTCGCTTCTGGCCTCCGTTCTTATTATTTGGCCGCCAGAGCCAACGCCCACCCTTCCTGCCACAGAAAAACATCTGGAGAGCAGCCCCGGCTCCAGCTGCAGGTTACAGAGAGGACACCAGGCCCTCACATCACCTTAAAGCGATCTGCATCCACCCGGCACTCCTTTCTGCCCCCTCCTCGGTGCCCATGCAGGGTTGCAAGCTGGGCTAGGGTCACTGACTTGTTATGGCAGAGTAGCAGCACTGCCAACCCCCCCCCACTCTCCTGCCGCGACCCCACAGGGGTTAAGTGGGTTTTGGTGCAGCCTGACAGGAAAGGGGAAGGAGGAGGAGGAGGTGGAAGAAGAAGGGAGTGCAACGCGCAGCCAGAGAAAGCAGCTGGAAGCGCTTTCGGGCGCCCTGGGGAGCAGGCGGTGCCGGGAGGTGGGAGCCGGCTCCGGGGTGGGGCCGCGGCGGCTGGAATGCAGAGGCCGGACGCAGCTCGGGCCACCCTGGGAGCCGGCTTCTAGCAGCCCGGTTTTGGGATGCAGGCGGGGGCCCTGCTGCTTGGCGCGGGGTCCAGAGCTGGACTCCACGCAGCCCGCCTGGAGTGGGGGCTTGGGGTCCCTGCTTTGGGGTCATTGCTGCAGGGAGCGTGTGCCTGACTCATGCCTGACCTCTCCCCACCGCCCCTCTGCAGCTCTCCCTGCCCTCGGCCTCACGGCGTCCGGCTCCACACAGACCGGGGCAGAGAGGCACGTGCGCACCACTCTCCCCGTGAGGCCTGGCTTTCCTTCCTTTGTACCCTCCCCACTCCCTGCATCCACAAAGCCCAGCCTGGCACCCCGGGTCCCTCCTGTGCCTGCTGCAACATCTGGATGCACAGCAGCACTGTGCCGCACCCTGGGTGTAGCTGCTCCCCACCCAGACAGCTCAGCAAGGCTAAGGACACCATCTTCCTCCTCCCAAATATAATCAGGGGGAAGGTGGGGCTGCCGATGCTTTCTTTCCCGGCAGGGCCCCCCTGCTCCAGCCTCAGGCCCCCCTCGCTCCCAGACAGCTGTTATCTGCTTCTCTGAGCTGCACCGAAAGGAGATGTCGGGACAGGTTTATTTGCAGATCCCTGGAGCAGCAAGTGGCACTTTCACTTGGGTTTGGCCCCACTGCTGCTGGAGTAAGAGTGGGCAGACGAAGCAGCTACATGCCCAGGCCTAAGTCCTTCCAGAGCTGTAAGCCGTGTCTCCTGCCCGCGGCAGGGTTTTACCCGAGAGGTGGCGGGGAAGCTGCCAGGGCTGGCAAACCCCCTCCCGCCGAAGCCTGCCCTGCAGCGGGAATCTGCCCCCTACCTCGATCAGCTCCTCCGTCCACACCTTTCTGTCCATCTTCAGGCTCCGCACTTTGGTGATGCCGGGGCCCAGCGCCCGGTGCTCTCCTGTGGGTCACACAAGAGGTCTGTAAGCGGGTGTTCATGGTGCAAGGCATTGGGCATCATCCTGGGAGCCAGGAAGGCTGGGTAACCCTGCTCCCACCTCGCCCCCGGGGCATCTGGCTAGCTCCTTTGCTTCCCTGCCTCAGTTTCCCCATCTGTTGATATCAGCCTGTAGCCTGGGTGCTTCTCCCCGAGACTGCAAACGCAGCTGATGCTGTGACACATTTCAGTGCTGCTGAGAGGCTGGTCCTCTCCACCAGGATCAGGATCAAAGCCACTCGCTGGGCCAGCCGCAACGGTGCCCTCATGTACCACCCACCCAGATGACCCCTGACCTAGGCCAACATGTTGCACAGAGGGTGAGCGGGATCTCAGCTGCCTGGGGGGATCCCAGCCCCGCAGCGGGCATCCAGGGGACCCCCTTCCCCTACCCGTGCCCATGCCAGTCCCCATCCCTGAACAGCAAGTGCTACCTGCGCATCTCTTGCAGATGACGACACAGAGGTTGATGGAGGCCCAGTCGGGCTGCGGCGCCTCACAGTCGGCACAGAACCGGTTCGACTCCGTGGCCCAGATCCTCTCGGCCACCTCCGAGTTGGAGAGGGCCTCGGCGATGGCATGCTGCATGGCCTCCACCCACTCCTCCTTCTCCTGGTCCGAGTCCGCCGAGAAGCTGGGGAGGGAGGATGCTGAGCTCTACTTGCAGGGCCCAGCGCCCCCAGGATGCTGCATGCAGCCCCGACCCCCCAACTCACCTAAAGACCCTGTAGGGGGTTGTCAGATCGAAGCCCCTCCGGTCCACGGGCCTCGGCGATGGCATGCTGCATGGCCTCCACCCACTCCTCCTTCTCCTGGTCCGAGTCCGCCGAGAAGCTGGGGAGGGAGGATGCTGAGCTCTACTTGCAGGGCCCAGCGCCCCCAGGATGCTGCATGCAGCCCCGACCCCCCAACTCACCTAAAGACCCTGTAGGGGGTTGTCAGATCGAAGCCCCTCCGGTCCACGTCCTTCACATTCCCCACGTTCATCTCAATGTAAGTGATCCCGATCCCCAGCCGGTAGGGGAGGAAAGCAGCCAGGGGCTGGTTATCAGGGCGGGGGGGGAGACAATGGAGAAAAGAGCAGGCAGGGGCACATGGGCATGCCAACCCGTGGCCTCCATGGTCCCTGTGTGCCGATCCCAGACAGGCAGGGCTTGAGGTTACGCTGCTGCACCAGACTCCAGACATCCGGGTTCATCCAGGCTCTGCCACAGGCTCCCCATGTAAGCTCAGGGGCCACTTAGATTTCCCCTGAGTCTTTGCATGCCCTGCCTGGTCACAGGCTGCCTTTCCCTCTGCGTGCATGTGCAGCACCGTGCACTCCAGGGACCAGGCCTCGGCTTGGAGGCCCCTAGGGCTAGCTGTGACCCTGCCTGCAGGGTAAGCACCAGGCCGGAGGGTGGGAGCCGGAAGAGGGAAGAAAGCCAGGAGGGGACAATGCCACGGAGCCTCACCTCCATGTTCTTGTAGAGCAAGACCTTGTCTCCCACCACCACCACGAAGAGCTTGTTTTTAAAGCCCCGCAGCTCCAGGAAGCCGAACTTGTCCGCGGCGTCCAGCTGGAACATGGACATCTTCTCCATACCCTTCACCTTGCGCTCGTCCACCATCTGTTGCAGGGTCTTTATCCACTCGTTCCTCTCCCCTGAAAGGTAAGGAGAAGGCTCAGAGCTGGGCCTTGCCCCAGGGCAGAAGAGGCTGGGTACAGAGCCCACAGATCCAGGCTGAAGCAGGGTGTCGAGGCTGGTCCCTTGCTTCCCAGGTCAATGCAACCTCCTAAGGGCAGGGGGAGC